GGGTACTCTGGATTTCAAGTGACAGGGATGATCAAACGGGGGCAAAAATCAAAACCAAAGAAATATTTGAGGTACAGTAAGTATTTCTACCTTTATCTTATTTTCATGACAAGTTTTAACTTTTATACAATGGTTTACGTTTTCGTTGATTGATTCTCGTCTTATTTGGGGCAATTTTAGTAACTGTTTGACGTTATGAAAACGACCACAAAGTAAACATTTACTCCCTCGTAGTTAGTTGATAAGTAATATCGGGTTCCGCTATCCTCTCAGATCGCAACATATTATAATCAGTCTTTTTCACTAGGATTAGCCAAGTGTCTGTTTTTGCTTGTTCGCTTTCTCGATAATTTGAACTCCACTCTGGATTTTTCACTCTTATCATGTTAAGAATGACAAAGATGGCAAAATCTTGTAAATAGCTTTTAAACCACTGTTGTAGTTGTAGTGTCTGACCTAGTGGTCAACACTTTTCGTCAATTAGAGAATATGTGCGCACGCCATCAGCAATGGCACTCCGCAATTTCGGTTATTATTGTCAAAGATGGGAGTTTTGGGTGAACTTTTGTCGCTTTTAGGTGACGCATGACACTCTTATGGTAGTAAGTCTTTTTTTTTTTTCAGGCTTACTATTCCTTACCCTGACTGACCATCAATGAGTGAAATAGTTACACGCAAGATACTTTACAATTTATTACGCTAATACTTTTACGTGTTCTCTTAGCCTCCTCGTGAAGTTAAATGACGTAATAGTGCAAAAATCTTTTCACTTGTACTTGAAAATAACGCAACAATTTACTTGGTACAAGATATTCCCTCTGTTCCAAGCTACAGGTCCTTGCGGTACGAACAAGTCCAGTTTATTATTTGTAACCATTTTTAATAGTAACTTAATTAAGTATTTTATTGTAAATAATATCGTATTTTAGCATTTTATTGTAAATAATATATTTTTAGCATTCTAATTATTTTAAGCTGAGGGCCCCAAGTTTATCAGTAACTTAAGTTACTGTCACGGGTCACCCTCATTGAATAAAGTCTTTCACTTCACTTCACTTCACAACGGGCAAGATAACAAGACATGTGAAAAGAGTAAGTCATTTGTCGTTCGGGCATTCTTTTCCTTATATTGATTGACCATCAACAAATGAAATAGTTGTTTACATACATGATACGTTTCAATTCATTGCCCTTATAATTTTACGTTGCCTTGTTGTAGGACTAACTTTTGACAGGTTCTTCCAATTTTTATCAGTTTCATTGTTTCTTTCCATTTTCTCAAAATACTTTTTCAGTGACTCAGATTCATTTAAAACTTTATCTTCTCTTGACGTGTTTTGTCTCACCTCTGTTATGAGGTCTTCATATAATGCCTTGTTCTCCTGTTCTATGTATATATTTTTTAACTTCTTCAACAAAAACATTCATTCTTTAGCCCACCCTTAAGAGGCTTGATATTAGTGCAAATTTAACGTGCAGACGCTCCTCAATTCTTGCAGCGTTCTCTTTTTCAGAAGAACCACATCCATGCGGGGATATTTTCATTCAATTTTTTTACAAACGTATTTAACTGGGATGTATTTCTTTTGATCATTTCTCAGCACAGTAGCGTTGAAAATGGTATGTCAATGCAGCAGAACGATTCCATACGCTTTCGCCTTTGTTCCTTTAAACTGGTTATATCTCCGCGGTTAATCAGATAGTTCACGGATGTCTTCCGTGGCAAATCCCTTCAAAACCTGTTTTACCGACATTAATGAACGAAAATGTCACAAAAGCTTTACCATGAATGAAATAGTACTACAAATTGCCGAATTTTACGCGCGTTTAGTTATATTTCGCGGCAATTTTACCTTAATGTTTATATATATATATATAATGATCTAGTGTGTTCATAGGACCAATCACGAGTCATGTATTAAAAGAATTAACTTGTACTTAGGCCTTCACCAAATTATTACAGCAAGATGGCGGTGAAAAGTGAACAAAGATGTCGCGAAGCGCAAACGGTATTTAAACACGCAGGTATTATCGAAAGATTGAAGTCGTCACGCTACCGTGTGTTTATATTACGAGCCGAACTTTCACCTTTGTTGTGTTGAGATGGGAAGGACGAGGACGCATTTGAGAGAAGAAAAACTCTGAAATGTTAAATAAACGAATGTGTTCTTAAAACTCCGGACCGAACAAATGGGAATTTCCCAATTGTGTTGTCGTCAGCAAACAACAAAAAATGGCATTTTGGAGAGCGATGGTCCATTTTATAGACATTTGCGTGGACGACCAAGGTAAATTACATTGTGTTTGTACTTTTTTTTTTTGTTTTGTTGGGAAGCGCGAAAGTTAAGTCTGGGAGTTTAATTTTGCTGAAACTAATATCTGAACACGGTGCTATTCAATATGAGATCAAACAAATTGTTAAGGTCTGTAGCAGCCCGTGCTATTTATTGTATAAGCTAATGGGCTTGGGTGAAATTTAATTGTGGTCATGTTTACTCATTGATCCCCCCNNCAAAAAAAAAAAAAACTAAAACACTGGGCGCTTTCCATTCATACAAAAATTTCAAAATTCTCGAAACGGGTACATATGTTACAGAAATTTCCTGGGAAGGGTTCCAGAAAATCTGGAAATTGTTAAATTCCTGAAAAGCGGGACGGTACTTTATTTACAGAGACGGTACTTAATTTCAAAATCCAAAACAGATAATCGCACTTTTTTAACAATGCCACCCTCTTTGATTATTGAAAACAATGTTTTTGATATTCTCATGAAAAAAATCAAACACCAAACATTATGTTCACGCATAATGTTATTTATGTCGAGGCATGACGGTCACGCAATGGTCCGTAGGTCTGATTTGTGTCAAGTATCACCCCAGGAGAGAGAGGGGGCGTTCTCTCAAGGATAAAAGATATTTCTCTCGAGCAATTCGCCCTTCTTCCCTTGGCCCTCGTACCGTCGGTATCTCGCAAGGATTTTTTTTTTTCTCCCGTTCCCCCCATCCCCTGTTACCAGACATCGGATTATTCGCTTACATTTAGTAATGTGGGCGCGTCTTTTTCGCCCCACCTTTGCTGAACAATGGAAATCCTGTAGATGAATTGCTACAATTTAACTGTCCTGGATCAAATTAGACACGCCACATTTGTGGCTAAATTCATCAAATCCATGTGTTTAGTTTTATTGCGCATTCTTCAGCAAACTAGTGCGACTTCAAGCAGAGTTAGCGTTCCGTAGAGTCATGCATCGATATAAAGACTATTACACAATGTTAATAAGTAAAAAAGCACAATTTTCTAATAGTTCCTTAGTTCTGAAAAGCGATTTTAATTTAAATGAGGATCAATTAAGAAAAGTGTGTCTTCTGCCGCATATTGTGTGTTCTAAGGCTTATGTTAAGGCCTTTCAATATAAGGTCTTTAACTTTATTCTATATACCAATACCAAATTAAATAACATACGATACATTACAGACGATAAATGCTCTTTTTGTAAGTCTGAACCAGAAATCCCATCGCGCCTTTTTTTAACTGCGTATACTCAAAGCTCTTCTAGAAATATTTTGAATTTTTACTTTTACTCTTTAGCAAAAGAATTTGTTCATCTAAAATTGCGAGATGCATTAATAGGCATTATAACTTCAGAGTGCCCCTTACTAAATTAGTTCTTGTTGATAGCCAAACTATATCTATGGGATTGCAGAAGATCTCAAATACTTCCAAGCTTAGCTGGGTTTAAGACGAAGATCAAAATTAAATTTGAGACGGAAAAATATAGCTGCACTAAGAACAAAACTTTAGATCAAGTTATTAAAAAATGGGGGACAATTTGTCCTGTGTAAACAATAACTGTATTCTAACTATTTTTTGTATCGCTTTCTTTGTACCTTTCTATTGCCTTTGTGATTGTATTTTAACATAAATGTATTGCTCAGTATGTTTAAGCTAGTATTGTAAGTTATGTAATGTTATTGCAAATAATAATTTATACGGCTTAATTAGTACGTTGTGTTTATATTAAGTAATGTTTTACTATTTGTAGTTGTTGTAGTATTGTAGATAATGTGAGAGCTCTAATAAAATAATAATAATAATAATAATAATAATAAATTCTCGAAAAGCGAACCATTTAACCGAGAATTCCGGAAATTACAGAATGACAATCAAATGGAACAAAATTTCCCGCAATTTTTGTTTTCCCACAATTTGGGTACACCTCGCGAGGTTGTCCTCTTTTTCGGAATTAGCAATTTTCTATTCAGCGCCGAGTTCCTTTGGCCACGATCATCGCGATCATCCCATACTAAGATGACGGCGACGCGTATTCGGAAATGGATTAGTATTTTACTTGCCACTTGTCTATCGACAAATACTAGCTAGAGCTAAATTCGTCAAGAAAGCGTTTAATTGCAATAAAAATGATGCCCCCAGCAGTGTACTTGTTTGTTTTGCATAGGTTGGCTAAGAAATGTACGAAGATTTATAGCGCGTGCAGAGGCGTCGTACCACTCATTAAACTATTTGTTTTGCGACGTTTTCGCTGCCGTTGTGGTTTGTGTAAAGTCCCTGCTGTCATGGGCTATAAAACGTCGCCGTGTCGACGGATCAGTGTTCTGTGAGCTTCCATATTTGCGATTTAAACTTGGAAGTCACTGAAGAATTCTGAGCGCACAAAAGTGCGGCTTATCGTTTTCCCCCCGGGTGCATAAACCGGAAAATTCTGTTCCATTCGCCCTAGAAAATTCCGGAAATTCACACCGGAAATTTTGGTCCAGTGGAAAGCGCCCACTATGTATGTTTCAATCGTTTCGTTCACTGTTCGTTCATTTATGTCAAAGACCAGAATGATTGCGGGCTTTGTAGACGAGAAGACCGGGGCAACAAACCGCTGACCTGGTTGCGTTCTGTTTATCAATTTTACAGTGACTTTACAATTATAGGTATGTGCTACCAAGTTTGTTTTTAAGTCTTAATAACTTCTTTGATTGATTTACTTGCAGGCAATCCTGAAACTAACTCATCTCAGAAACCAACCAGCTCAAATAATACCAGTAAGTAATTCCAGGAACAAAAAACTGTATATATATTAATAACAAGGAAGGATGTAGCCGTTTTTGTGTAGCAAATTCTTCTGGTTACGAATGTGCATGTCCAACTGGTTTTTCTCTGGGGCAAGATAACAAGACATTTGAAGGAAGTAAGTCAATTGTCTTTGACGCACACTATTCCTTACATTGGTTGACCATCAATAATTGAAATAGTTGTTGCATATATAGTTACATACAAGATACTGTAACATTAATTATGCTAATACTTTTTACATGTGATGGGAAGGACGAGGATGCATTTTCAGAGGACGAAAAATCTGAGTTGTTAAAGAAACGAATGTATTCTTAAAACTCCAGACCGAACAAATGCGAATTTCCCAATTGTGTTGTCATCAGCAAACAACCAAAAATGGCATTTTGAAAAGCGATGGTCCATTTTATGGACATTTGCATGGACGACCAAAGTAAATTACATTGTGTTTGCCCTTTTTTTTTTGTTTTGTTTTGTTTTGTTTTTTTGGGAAGCGCGAAAGTTAAGTCTGGGAGTTTAATTTTGCTGAAACCAATATCTGAACACGTTACGTTTAATAAAAGATTCAATAATTTTTTTTTTTTTTTAGTTACATACAAGATACTCTACAATTCATTAAGCTAATACATGTTCTCTTAGACTCATGAGGTTAAATTACGTTATAGTGAGAAAATAAATACGAAACCTTTTCCTTGTACTGAACGCTCATTCAAATGTGCAACTTATTGAGCCCTGCGTTGGAAATCATTAGGTGGCAAGCACGGCACCTGCCTAACAATATTAATTACGCGCTCAAATTTAACCGTTTTTTACAGTCATTATAAAAGAATTTCACGCGTGCCTTCGCGCCCCTTTTACACTATGATAGAGAAATCTGAAAACGCAGATCTATTTCTATGGTTAATCCTCTTTTCATACTAGTCTTTTTAGAAAACGGAGCTTTTCAAGAAATTACTATATTTGTATAGAAAGCAATATTAGCCATTTATGCGAGTCCTCTATCCTGATCGAATTGGAATTTTGAGTGTTGGTTTTTATGGAGGGAAGAAATCCGTAGAACCCGGAGAAAAAATCCCTCAGAGCATGGCGAGAACCGTAATCGAACCTGGGCCACATTAGTGGGAGGTAATCGCTTCCACCACTGCGCCATCACCGCTCCTCAAGCTCTTCAACCCTGAAGGAATTTGAAAAAGCCGGACTTTTGTTTTCATTTGGACGGAGTACGTTTTGAAAATGGAGCTTTTAAAAAAGGGCAGCGTCACAATAATCATGAGATTTCCGGATGTCGCTCTTAGGTGACACATGACGGTCTGATACTTTTTGTGTGAATAAAAGGAGCTTTTGGCATGGTCCGTCTGTTGTTTCATGGTTGCTTGTTAAGTACAACAACAACACTAGCTTTATGTGCATGACCATAAATATATACAGTATTGCAAAAGCTTTTGTAGACTAAAACTAAAACAGTAACGATTATCGTGATCACATTATAATGTTATGATACAGCAATCAAGTTACATTGGTTTGATTTGAAATCAGAACATTGCGTACATCAAAGCAAGATGAAATAAATTTTGCTAATTGAATATTAGTATAATGACTTGAAGAAGTAATAAGTTCGCCAATGGGCTTAATTTGTTGAGTTATACAGTATTTCTTTTTGTTTTTATTTCGCCGATCTGTTTAGCTTCACGAGCGAATTATCCAAAACGAAAGTCATTCCCCTAGCCTCCGCCCAAACCCATAGAAACACTTTCCCTTTCAGGATTCTCTTTCTTAAGAACAATCATTGAACTGTCATTAAAAGCTTTGAGATACGAGGTACCTTACAGGAGGTACGAGATGTGCTTTATTTTTCTTTATTTAATTTTTTTTGTAATTATTATTTTCCTGTATTCGCCTTGTTGTTAACTGATGTCTTGTAATTTTACCGCAGAGGGAGGAACATCAACGTTGAACTATCCCGGAATCGTCGTAGGAGTCTTTATTCTCTTTTTATTGATTGTTGTCGCCATCTTTTCTCTGCTGTAAGTATCTTAGCACCAAATAGAATGGAGTAAAATAACATATTGAAGCATACCCTAGATTAGCACAGTACGACACAACATAGCAAGGGGTATCTAATGGTCCCATTCAATATAAAAGTGCTCGCAAAATTTGGCCTTTGCTCTAACTGCTCGAAAAAAATAGACGAGTGCTCGCTTGCTCGGGCTCGCGAATTTTTTGCCACTGGATTGTCGTTAAAATATGCTCAATTCCGTATGACAAAACCGGGAAACATTAGGGAAGCATGCGCGCGCTATGAATGTTCCTGGAAACATGCTTTCTCGTTTTGCTGACGTTTTATTGAACCTGACGCACGTGACAATTCTTCGCGAAAGGCACCCGCAAAGGTAGAACGGAATCTAGACACTTGAAGACATGTGGAGTATTACTGAATGGCTTTAATTGGTTAAATCCTTAAAGCCTCTAAATAAAGCTTCCGTTGCGTTGATCTATTTCAGTCAGTCAGATGGCAACCAGTTTGTAGATCATCGTAACCGAAGCTCGAAATATTCGACAAAAGCCACGTTGTTTACATTTCCTAAGAATAATATAACCAAAACAAAACTTCCGTGTCACAACACTTGAGTTCCTGGTAACTTTTGGCTTCTTCTCGTGATTTGTTCACGACGTCTGATTAGAAAGCTTAGATCTCCTTGAACGTCCACCTAGCTAGTTTACCAAACTCACCCGAACCTACCTGACGCAAGGGCTGTGAGCTGCTGGGATCAGTTGTTGACAGCTAGATTACTTGGAGATTGCTCTTAGCGGAAAATTTACGAAGGGCTCGCTGCTCGTCATCTGTATTTTCTAAAGACAAATTTGATCACTGTCCTTGCGAAGACCATTCGATACGTACCCCTATAGAATACTATAGAATAGCATCATATAGCATTTTATGGCAAAGCTTAGCGTATACCGCAGGATAGAGTAGTATATTATAGCGTAACAGAGCTTAGAATAGCATAGCATAGCATTGCATAGCATGGCGTGCCTTGGCACAACAATAACAATAACAATAACAATGACAATGACAATGACAATGACAATGACAATGACAATGACAATGACAATGACAATGACAATGACAATGACAATGACAATGACAATGACAATGACAATGACAATACCAATACCAATACCAATAACAATAATGTTAATACAGTAAATGGTTTGAACTCAGGAGTATCAATAGTTCGTATAGTGTGATCGTCCTAGTGAGGGTAGCTCTTAAAAGAACTGTTGTCGGTGACTGACGTATCGATAACTCGAGAGGAAGTCGTCTTCAGAGTCAAGCGAATAGCGCTTTTATTTTCAGTCGATGATGTTAAGTCTAGTCCCTTCAACGAGTTCGTTAAAATTGCTGTACAGCGTGAACTGGCAAACGACAACATTGACTGGGCCTCTGCTCGCTGCTTAACCTACAGTAAAAACTATTTTCAAGGACTAACTCTGGAAAACGAGTACACTAACCCAGAACAATTAACAGATGTCAACAACTACCGGCGCCTTATATGTAAACGACTTATATATGACGGAAACGAAACCAACAAACGGACTTCTAACAGACCGACTTAATTTCACTAAAAATAGAAGGACCAAAAACAGACTAATTTGACTAACAAGAGACGGATCGAAACCGACCAATAACTGATGACAAACTTTACACGAATCTTTCAGCCAATGCCACCATAGCTAAAATGACCAATCACGTTGAACAGACCAGACTTAAAACATCAATGACTAACAAACACTATTCAATTGAACCTAAAGATGACTTCCGCTCAGGTTATCGAGACGTGTAGCGTAGCTCAGCATAGCGTACCATACCATAGCACAGCGTAAGAGAGCGTAGTTAAGCATAGCATAGCATAGCATTGCATAGCGTAGCATAGCATAGCATAACATAGCCTAAAAGAGCGTTCTGTAGCATAGCATAGCAGAGCGTAGCATGGCGTACCAGAGCATATTATAGCATAACAAAACATAGCATAGCATAGCATAGCGTAGCATAGTGTAGCATATCATAGCATAGCATAGTAGAGCGTAGCATAGCGTAACACAACGTAGTATAACATACCATAGCGCAGCATAGCGCAGCATAGCGCAGCATAGCGCAGCATAGCGCAGCATAGCGCAGCATAGCGCAG